AGCTACCTGCTGTATAGGATTATTAGCATAGTGTCATGTGAGAATATTACATAAGCTACCTGCTGTATAGGATTACTAGCCTAGTATCAAGTGGGAATATTGCATGCTACTCGCTATATTCGTATTAGCTTGCTATCACATGGGCATATTTCCCAAGCTGCTTGCTTTATTTTAGCATGGTACCTGATTTTAGTTTCACCACCAATAATGTACAGACCTTTTCATCACTTTTTTTGAAGAAACCACATCCACCTGAACCCTAATATTTTAAACAACGGTAGCATACAATATTTCTAAGAGAATGAAGTGCCGGTTTTCAGGATTTTGAGCGTAAAAGTGTATAGAATTGTAGGTTTCGATGTCCATGCATTGTTATTAAAGACTCCAGAATTGAGCCTTTAATCACGATCATAAGATAAATGCGTAAGAGATTTTAACCAATTTGAAAAAAATGAGAAAAAGCTATTTTTTTTAAACAACTGACTCTGTGAAATGCTTGAAATTTGGTACACTCAACTGATTTTATATGTTGATTATTCTTGTACCGAAGTGAACTGTAACATTACCAAGCTGGCTCTGCTCTTTGCTTCAGAACCAAAAACCCCAAGCCTGCCAAAAATTAATGACTTAAGCAATTATATTATGAGCGTGACGCATGGCTTTCTAATTCCCCTTGCTTTAAGAATGTGAGCGTCCGCTTTTCAGTATTTGTTCAAGGCTGAACAGCAAGTCAAGTGCATGTTGGTAATGCAGCTTTTAGGCGGTGATCACTGGTCCTTGAACAACACACGATAACCCTAGCTTCAAAGTCATCTTTGCTCTTAGCTCCTACACTTGCATTCAGAGGAATTAATTATTCTATTTTAATCAGGTCTGTCGTCGTCATAGGTGTCACTATGTGTCATGTAGATCTTAAGTAATTTCATGATATTATATGAAAATAGCTAACACTGTTAGATGCATCTTTTGACCGGAATCGGGGAGAACAACAACAACAAAACAACAACAACAACAACAACAACAAGCGGGTCGCTCGTCAATAATGTAATTAAATATACTATGAGCAAGACCCCCACTTGCAAAGACACGCAAAAACGGTAAAAAAATAGAAAGTTGAAATAATTACCTCTATTTCTGTGGAGAACGACTCTTGTATATCGTCACTACAGCCGGAGTGAAGGATAGAGATACAAGGGGTACCTCTACGATCTCTCTTTCTCTCTCACTCTGACTGCCCGTTGTGGTGATCAACAAATTCTCCTCGACTGAACCGCAGCTCGCCTGATAATGGCTTGATATTTATATTCCGTCACAGCTCGTACTTGACCCGGCTTTCTTATCTGCAAGTTTAAGTACAGCAAACTTGAACTGGTCCCAGACTGCTTTTGGACGGAAAACCGGGTATACGCGAATCTGGGACAAAATTTTATTTAAAGATGCAGATGTTTTTAAGCCCCCATCAACACAATTTAGATTATTTAGGAGGTGGGTGTTGACCTTGCGTGTCTGGGCCCAGTCGAGCTGAGAGGGATGCAACTTTCCAGCAGAAAGATAGTTACTCTATTAAAATTACTACCCACTCGGGAATCGAACTCGGTCTCTTGCAGGCTACAGCGATGCGCCTAACCGCTGTATCACATACGCCATTTGGGAAAAATAAACTAAAAAAAAAAAAGATCACTTCTAGCTATTCTAGTATTCAATGAGTGCTATTAAGCAAACAGTACTGTCTGAGAGTAAGGATTTAAACAGTAGTTGTCTTTATTCCAGTTCGTGGCAATACTTGATTCTGTCAGATACTTCATTTTCAAGTCAAACGTCAGTGTTGTTTCAATGAATGCCGACCGTCCATTGTGGTCAGGATGTGCTCAGTTTGTGAAGGAGAAGATTTTCTTTTTTTTAAAAACATAGGTGTATATATTCTTTTTACGTCCCAATTGACTTAATTTAGCTCATTTAGGAGGCGGCCTTTCGATCCTCCTTTCTGTCAGGGGCAACTTGGGCTGAGACGGATACAGCATTCCAGAAAAAAGAACAAGATATTGACTAAACGTTTTCTTTTCGTACTCGGGTATCCTGCTTGCGACAGCGAATACGCGCCTAACCGCGAGATCTACAACCACCACATACGCCAGTGGTTACAGTGGCGCAGGAGAAGAGATTCAGATCCAGAGATGTCGGCGTGGGTTGAACTGAGGAGAGGGTTTCATTTACTGTTCCAGTTGTGTTACAGTTTACACTGTCAGCGGATGGCTGGTAGCTTGGTGTCGTTTACTCCTTCTCTCCTATCAACTGTCTGTCATCATTATCTCTTCTTCTCCTTCCAGTAACACCCTTATTAAACGTCAACACAATTGTTACCTAGTTGTGTTGACAGAGCATAATAGCGGCGGCGGTGTCATTTCACCACGAAAATTAAAAAGTAGAATCTAGTACTTACACGGACTAAGATGTAAGATGGGCATGTCATACTTTAAACAAAATAAACATTTTATTTGGAGAATTAAGTTACCCAGGTAACCCAAATTCCAATAATATGTCACTTTGGAGATTCGAACCAGAGTCATCCACTCCGTAGTCCAACACGACACAAACTGAAATAACAGAGCCCCAGGAAAAAGTGGGGAGAGGAAAGCTGTCAGATTTATAGAGCGCACAACTAGGTCACGCATCATAAATATACGTTGACATAAATAGTTTTTCGGCGTTATTGGAAAACGAACATGATATATGGAGTACAGATCATTTAAGAGGCAGGCTTCCGATCTTCCTGTTAGGGGCAACTTAGGCTGAGAGGAAAGTTGTCAGAATTCATAGAGTACGGAGAATTAGGGAGAGAGACGTTGTCAGATTTATGGTGTA